GGGGGGGGGGGGGGTCCCCCGGGGGGTGCCCAACACCCCCCACCCCCCCCCCCCCCCAAACCTCACCTGTCCCCGCGCCCCCAGGTGGTTTACAAGAACAACGACTTCAAGCTGGAGCTGTCGCGGCTGGCGCAGGAGGGGGACGCGCGGGTGACGCTGCACGGGGCGCTGCTCTTCCACTGCGACCCCCCCCCGGCGCTGGACCCCGTCACCTTCGCCACCCCCCAGGCTCACCTGGCGCTGCCCACCTGGCGCCCGGCCCGCGCCGGCTCCGTCTCCTTCGACTTCCGCACCACGGAGCCCAACGGGGTCCTGCTCTTCGGGCAGGGACCCCCCCGCGACCCCCCGGCAGCCGCCCCCCGCNGTGTGCAGGTGTGCAAAGGATGTGCAGGTGTGAGGGGAGGGGTGTGCAGAGGGCGTGCAAGTGTGAAAAGATGTGAGGGGAGGAGTGTGCAGGTGTGCAAAAGGTGTGCAGGTGTGAAAAGGTGTGAGGGGAGGGGTGTGAAGGTGTGCAAAGGGTATGCAGGTGTTTTCAGGTGTGCAAAGGTGTGACGGGAGAGGTGTGCAGGTGGTGTGCAGGTGTGCACAGGTGTGAGGGGAGGGGTGTGCAGGTGTGCACAGGTGTGAGGGTGTGAGCACATGCAGGGCTCACAGGTGTGCAGGTACCACCCCCAGGTGTGCAGGGGGGTGCACAGGGGCTTTGGGGGTGTGCACAGGTGTGCGAGGGGTACAAGGAGGGACACAGGTGTGCGAGGGTTGTACAGGTGCAGTTCCCAGGTGTGCAGGGGCTGCTGGGGCAGGGTGTCCTGCTATCCCCCCTTTGCCGTGCACCCGCTGTCCCCTGATGTCCCCTGATGTCCCCCGATATCCGCCCACTGTCCCCTCGCTGTGCCCCCGCTGTCCCCTGATATCCCCTTGCTGTCCCCACTGTCCCCCCGCTGCCTCCACGCTCTCCCCTGATGTCCCCCACTCTCCCCCCACTGTCCCTCGCTGTCCCCTGATATCCCCTCGCTGTCCCCATTGACCCTGCGCTGTCCCCCCAACTCTCCCCCTGATGTCCCCTCGCTGTCTCTGATGTCCCCTCGCTGTTCGGACAGCGGGGACAGTTGTCCCTGATGTCCCGCGCTGGCCCCCCGCTGTCCTAGTCCTGTCCCCTCGCTGTCCCCCCCGCTGTCCCCGCTGTCCCTGACCCCCCCGCGCTGTCCCCAGGCTCGGTGTCGGTGAACAGCCGCAGCACGCCGTTCCTGGCCAGCGGTGACCGGGACGTTCTGGACGTGGGGGCCGAGCTGTACCTGGGGGGGCTCCCCGAGGGCCGGCCCGGCCCCCCCGCGCCCCCCGAGCTCTGGGCCGCGGGGCTGCGCCTCGGCTTCGTGGGCTGCGTGCGGGACCTGTTCGTGGACGGGCGGAGCCGCGACGTGCGGGCGCTGCTGGCCACCGGGGGGGCTCCGGGGGTCGCCCCGCTCTGTGCCAGGGACCCCCCCCGGCTGTGCGCCAGCGCTCCCTGTCGCAACGGGGGGACGTGTCGCGAGGGCTGGAACCGCTTCGTGTGCGACTGTCGCGGCACCGGGTACCTGGGGCCGCGCTGCGAGACAGGTGAGGGGACACGGGGACAGCGGGGACAGTGGGGACACGGGGACAGAGGGGGTGGCACCCCCCCGAGCACCTGGGTGAGGCAGGGGAGGGGGGCTGGGGGGACTGAGGGGACCCCGAGGTGACATGAGGGGGACATGGGGTACCTAGGGCCACGCTGCGAGACAGGTGAGGGGACACGGGGACAGCGGGGACAGTGGGGACACGGGGACAGAGGGGGTGGCACCCCCCCGAGCACCTGGGTGAGGCAGGGGAGGGGGGCTGGGGGGACTGAGGGGACCCCGAGGTGACATGAGGGGGACATGGGGTACCTAGGGCCACGCTGCGAGACAGGTGAGGGGACACGGGGACAGAGGGGGTGGCACCCCCCCGAGCACCTGGGTGAGGCAGGGGAGGGGGGCTGGGGGGACTGAGGGGACCCCGAGGTGACACGAGGGGAACATGGGGTACCTGGGGCTGCGCTGTGACATAGGTGAGGGGACACGGGGACACGGGGACAGCGAGGGTGGCACCTCCTGAGCACCTGGGTGAGCAGGGGGAGGGGGCGTGGGGGGCATTGAGGGTGACACGGGACCCCGAGGTGACACGAGGGGGACATGGGGTACCTGGGACAGCGCTGTGAGATAGGTGAGGGGACGAGGGGACAGTGGGGACAGCGGGGTGGGGTCACACGGGGGGCGTGGCACCCCCCGAGCACCTGGGTGAGGCGGGGGAGGGGGGCTTGGGGGGATTGAGGGGACCCCGAGGTGACACGGCAGGGCCTGGGGTCACACCTGGGGGCAGCATGGGGTACCTGTGGGACAGGTGAGGAGGGGGATGGGGGGATTGGGACCCTCTGAACACCTGGGTCCCCTCTTGGGGAAGGGTCACACCTGGGGAGGAGGTGCCTGGATGTCCCCAGGACCTGAGCCCCCCCTGGGACACCTGGCTGTCCCCTGCACGGGCGGCTCCCCCAGAGATGTCCCCAGACACCTCCAGTCACGGGAGGTGGCACTCAGTGGCAGTGTCCCTTGTCCCCCACCTGCCAACACCTGCCTGGGGCGGGGCTCACCTGACCGTGGGGTCCCAGAGGTGCCCTGGGGACACCCTGGGGACACCTTGGGGACACGGAGGGTGGCCGTGCCGAGGGTGACAGGGCGTCCCTGTCCCCGCAGAGGCGGCGGTGCTGAGCTATGACGGCAGCATGTACCTGAAGGTGCAGGTGCCGGGCGAGCAGACCGAGGCCGAGGACGTGTCCCTGCGCTTCATGTCCCCCCGAGCCTTCGGCCTCGTCCTGGCCACCACCTCGCGCCACTCGGCCGACACGCTGCGCCTCGAGCTGGACGGGGGGCGCATGAAGCTCACCCTCAACCTGGGTGAGCCCCCCACCCACCCGGGACCCCGCGGAGACCCCCGGATAAAGCCCGAAACGTCCTCGGAATGTCCCCGAAATGTCCCCGAAATCCTTCCCCAAATGGGGCCCGAGTCGGTTCTGGTCATCCCAGGAGGGCCAAAATGGGGTCTGGGATCCCAAAATAGGGTCTGGGACCCCCAAAATAAGGTCTGGAACCCTAAAATAGGGTCTGGGATCCCAAAATAAGGTCTGGAATCCTAAAATAGGGTCTGGGATCCCAAAATAGGGTCTGGGACCTCCAAATAGGGTCTGAGATTCCAAAATACAGTCTGGAAACCTAAAATAGGGTCTGGGATCCCAAAATGGGGTCTGGGACTCTAAAATGTGGTCTGGGACCCCAAAATGGTGTCTGGGACTCCAAAATAGGGTTTGGGACTCTGAAACAGAGGCTGGGACCCTAAAATATGGTCTGGGACCCCAAAATAGGGTCTGGGACCCCAAAAGGGTGTCTGAGACCCCAAAATGGTGTCTGGGACCCCATTATGGTTCACAGGATCCTGAGATGGAGCCTGGGACCTCAAAATGGTGCCTGGAACCCTAAAATGGTGTCTGGGATCCCCCCAAAATGGTCAAGTTGGTGTCTGGGATGCCACAGTGATGCTCAAGACCCCAAATTGGTGTCCAAGTCAGTTCTTAAGACCCCAAAAATGATTCTTGGGATCCCAAAAGTGCTCGTGGCCCCAGAATGGCCCAAAGTTGGTGCCTGGGAACCCAGGGCGATGGTCAGGAGCCCAAAATGGTGCTCAGGTCAGTTCTCCTGCCCCTAAAATTGTCAAATTCATGCCTGGGACCCCAAAAAGAGCATCCAGGTCCCAAAGATTTTCCCCAAAATGGTGTCTGGGTCGGTTCTGGTGATCCCAAATTGGTCAAGTTGGTGCCTGAGACCCCAAAATTTCCCCCAGATGGTGCCCAGGCACCCCCAGAATCGCACCTGTGACCCCCAAACTGGCCCTGGCAGGTCACCAGAGCCACCTCGGTGTCCCCAACACCCTCCCCCTCCCCTCCCCCGCGGGATTGGGGCCTTCGTGACCCCCCCGCTGCCACTTGGGGTGCAGTGCCGGGACCCCCCGAGGGGTTGAGGGTCCCCCCCAGAGGATTGGGGACACCCCAGGGTTGAGGACCCCTCCTGCAGCCCCTTCCATTGTGTGGGACCCCCGTGGGGCTGAAGGTCCTCTGTGGGACGGGGACCCCCCTGTGGGATTGGGGACCCCCCGAAGGGGTTCAAACTTCCCCCTAAGGGGCTGGGGACCCCCCCAGGGACTTGGAGACCCCCCATGGGATTGGGGCTCCCCCCGGGTCCCGGCGCTTGCCCCCCCCCGCCCCGCAGCGGTTGACGAGGGGGGGCCCAGCCCTGGGTGGGACCCCCCGGGACCCCCCGGGACCCCCCGGGCTGGGCCCCCCCCTGGCGGCGGCTGCGAAGGGCCTGACCCGTGTTCTCTCTCCCCAGACTGTGTCCGCGTGGGCTGTCACCCCAGTAAGTGCCACCCCCGCCCCGGGACACCCCCGGGACACCCCCGGGACACCCCCCAACCCCCCCACCCCAAACGCCCCCCAAAACTCCCCCAAACACCCCGGGGACACCCCCTGGGGACACCCCTGGGGACACCCCTGGGGGCACTCCCAGACCCTCTGGATCACCCCAAAACCTCCACAGGGATCCCCAAACCCCTCCTGACCCCCCAAAAGGTTGGGACCCCCCCCCCGTGTGTGTTTGGGGTACCTCCACAGGGACCCCCAAACCCCTCCTGACCCCCCCAAAAGGTTGGGACCCCCCCCGTGTTTGGGGTGCACAGGTGGGGTCAGGGGTCACACCTGGGCCATGCTGGGGACATCTGGTGTCACTCAGTGCCACAGTGTCCCAGTGCCACCCGGTGCCACCAGGTGCTCCAGTGTCACCCGTACTGGTGGCCCAGTGTCCCCAGTACAGTGCTGTCCCCTGGTGTCACTGGTGTCACCTGATGTCACCCAGTGCCATGGTGTCACCAGCACAGCGGTGTCCCCTGGTGTCACTGGTGTCTCCTTGTCCCTTGTGTCCCTCTGGTGTCCCCTGGTGTCACTGGTGTCCCCTGATGTCCCAGTGTCCCCTGGTGCAGAGGTGTCCCTGGCGTCCCTGGTGTCACCCAGGGTGTCGCTGTCCCCTGGTGTCCCTGATGTCCCCAGTGTCCCCGCTGTCCCTGATGTCCCAATGTCCCCAATGTCCCTGCTGTCCCGGTGTCCCCTGTGTCCCCGCTGTCCCCGGTGTCACCGCTGTCCCCGCTGCCCCCAGGCAAGGGCCCCGAGACGCTGTTCGCGGGGCAGCGGCTGGATGACAACGAGTGGCACTCGGTGCGGGTGGCCCGGCGCGGGCGCAGCCTCCAGCTCGCCGTCGACAACGTCACCGTCGAAGGTGACACCGCGGGGACGAGGCGGGGGGACCTTGACTTGGGCTCTTGGGGTCACCGGGGCGCTCGGGTCCACGGGGATGTGGCCAGTGGGGCTGCAGGTCCGTGGGACAGGGATGAAGGTCCATGGGGACATTAGTACTTGGGGACATGGTGACCAGGTCCATGGGGATGGGGATGAAGAAGGTCCTTGGGGACATTGGTGCTTGGGGACAGGGATGAAGATCCATGGGGACATGGATGAAGGTCCATGGGACATGGATGGAGGTCCAGGGGACAGGGATGAAGGTCCAGGGAATGGGAATGAAGATCCAATGGGACAGGGATGAAGGTCCATGGGACATGGATGGAGGTCCATGGGACATGGATGGAGGTCCAGGGGACAGGGATGAAGGTCCAGGGAATGGGAATGAAGATCCAATGGGACAGGGATGAAGGTCCATGGGGACATGGATGAAGGTCCATGGGACATGGATGAAGGTCCATGAGACAGGGATGAAGGTCCAGGGGACAAGGATGAAGGTCCGTGGGATGGGGATGAAGGTCCTTGGGGACAGGGATGAAGGTCCATGGGAACATGGATGAAGTTCCATGGGACAGGGATGAAGGTCCAGGGAACAGGGATGAAGGCCCATGGGACAGGGATGAAGGTCCAGGGGACAGGGATGGAGGTTCACAGGAACATGGATGAACCCACCTTAGGGACACGGGTGCACAGGGACAAGGTGACCAACCCTGTAAGGACACCACACACAGCCTGGATGTCCATGAAACCACGGCTGAACCGTGGCGCCGTGGCACACGCCACCCCTCGCGCTCCCGGTGCCACCCCCGTGTCCCCCACGCCCCCCAGGCCAGCTGTCGGGCTCGCACACCCGCCTGGAGTTCCACAACATCGAGACCGGCATCGTCACCGAGCGCCGCTTCCTGGCCGTGGTCCCCTCCAACTTCCTGGGCCACCTGAGCGGGCTGGTCTTCAACGGGCTGCCCTACCTGGACCTGTGCCGCGACGGCGACATCAGCTCCTGCGAGCTCAACGCCCGCTTCGGCCGCCGCGCCATCGTGGCCGACCCGGTGGCCTTCGGGGGCCGCGGCTCCTACGTGGCGCTGGCCACGCTCCAGGCCTTCTCCTCCTTCCACCTCTTCTTCCAGTTCAAGACCACGGCCCCCGACGGCCTCATCCTCTTCAACGGCGGCAGCGGCTCCGACTTCCTGGTGGTCGAGCTGGTCAAGGGGTGAGGGGAACACTGGGGGGACACCAGGGGGGACACCAGGGGGATGTCCTGGGGAGATCAGGGACCTTGGGGACACCACGGCCCTGCTGGGGGGCTCAGGGACCTTGGGGACACCACGGCCTTGCTGGGGAGCTCAGGGATCTTCACAGATCCTGGGGACACCTGTGGGGTCCTTGAGGGTCTTGGGGATCTCAGAGCCGCCGGGGACATGCTGGGAGTCCTTGGGACTTTGGGGACCTCCTGGGGACCTGCTGGATGTCCTGGGACCCCTGGGCACACCAGGGGGGCCCTGGGGATCCCGTCACCCCCCTGGGGACCTTGGGGACCTTCTGAACCTTTTTGGACCTTGGGACCCCCTCAGCCCTCAGGGAACCCCCTCACCCGCCCTTAGGCTCCGCCCCCATGTCACAAGCTCCTCCTCCTGGCCCAGGCCACGCCCATAAAGACCACACCCAACTGTGGCCACACCTCCACCATTGGCCACACCCCCGGCCCAGTCACACTCCCTGTATTGGGTGTGGGGGGGTCCAGGTGAGTCCCCCCCTTGCCCGGGGCCACGCCCAACGAGGCCACGCCCCCTTTTCCAGGTACATCCACTACGTGTTCGACCTGGGCGAGGGCCCCTCGCTCATGAAGGGCAACTCGGAGCAGCCGCTGCACGACGGGCGCTGGCACGAGGTGGCCGTGGCACGGGAGGGGGGGGCCCTGCACGGGCTGCGCGTGGACGGGAGACCCGTGACCCAGCACGGGCAGGGCGCCCGCGGGCTGCAGCTCAAGGGTGAGACCCTGGGGACACCTGGGGACACCTGGGGACAGCTGGGACACACCTGGGGACAGCTGGGGACAACTGGGACACACCTGGGGGAGGGTACAGGTGTGTGGGTACCCCCTGACCCAGCACAGGCAGGGCGCCCGCGGGCTGCAGCTCAAGGGTGAGACCCTGGGGACACCTGGGGACAGCTGAGACACACCTGGTGCACACCTGGGGACACCTGGGGACAGCTGGGGCACAAATGGAACACCTGGGTTCACCTGTGATCATTTGAGACACACCTGGGACACGCCTGGGGCACACCTGGGACACATCTGGGCCACCTGGGACACACTTGGGGCACCTGGGACACACCTGGGGACACCTCAGGAGCACAGCAGGTGTGGGGGTACCCATGGAGGGCATGGACAGGTAGCCCCTGACTCAGGACAGGAAGGGGACTTGTGGCCTCCAGCCCAAGGGTGACACCTGGGGACACACCTGAGTGACACCTGGGGCACCTGGGATCACCTGGGACACATCTGGGGGAGGGCACAGGTGTGGGGATGGTCCCGGGGTGGATGGGAGGGGTCACCCCAGTGGGGTACCCATGGCAGGGTGTCCCCTCACCCTCTGAGTGTCCCCCAGGTGTCCCTCAGGCGCACCTGGACATCAGGGTAGGGGGGCAATGGCACACGGGGGGGGGGTCTCCCTAATGGGTGACCCCCACCAGCTTGGGGGGCTAATCCTGATGCTGTTTTGGGGTGCGGACAGAGCTCTCAGTGCCCCCCAGGTGACCCCCCCGTGGGGGGGTCAGCCCGGGGCTCCTGGGCCGCCTCCCGCGGCTCGTGGCCTCCCGGGGGGGCTTCCGGGGCTGTTTGGCCTCGCTGGACCTGAACGGGCGCCTGCCCGACCTGCTGGGGGACGCCCTGCGACGCGTGGGGGACGTGCGGAGGGGCTGCGACGGTGAGGAACGGCTCAGGGAGATTTGAGGGGCTCAGGGGCCTCAGGAAGTTTTGGGGGGCTCGGAGGAATGGCTGTGCCAAATTTGAGTGGGGGGCACGAGGGGATTTGGAGGCCTTGGAGGAGCAGCTGTGCCCAGTTTGAGTAGGGGGCTCAGGGGGATTTGGGGGGCTCAGGAAGTTCTGGGGGGCTCAGGAAATTTTGGGGGTCTCAAAGGGGGGCTGTACCCAGTTTGAGTGGGGGACACGAGGTGATTCGGGTGGCACAGAGGGGCACGGGTGGCTCAGGGGGACATGGGGGGACACACAAGGCGCTCAGGGGTCCCAGGGTGGGTGGGGGACACCCCACACAGGGGGGGAGCCCAGGACCCCCCAGGAGCGAGCAGAGGGGGCAGGTGGCCCTTGTCCCTCGCGGGGGACACGCGTGTCACTTGGTGTGTGGCCGTGTGAGCCTCGCACGGGCCCTGGTGTCCCCAAACGGGACGAGTGTCCCTCGCTGAGGTGGCTCCGTCACTTCCCCTGTGCCCCCATGGCCCGTAAGGAGGGCAGGTGGCAGCGCGGGTGTCACCTGTGCCACCTGTGCCACCTGAGCCTGGCACGAGGGCTCCGTGTCCCCACAGGGCACCAGGGACACACGGGACACACGGGACACACGGGACACACGTGTCCCTGCCCCGGGGTGGCTCTGTCACCTGCCCGAGGGCTCCGTGTCCCCACGGCCCCTAACGAGGGGCAGGTGACAGCACGTGGGACACCTGTGTCCCTCACGGGGGGGCCGTGTCCCCCCCCCATGTCCCCCCGATGTCCCCATGGCCAAGTTTCCCCATGTCTGGGTGTCCCCCCCATGTCCCGGTGTCCCCCTTTGTCCCCTGTCCCCCCACTCCAGGTGAGTCCCAGGCAGTGTCACCTTCTGCCCCACACCTGGGGGGGGTCCCGGGGGGCTTTGGGGCCGCTCCGTGGGGCGGGACGTGGCTCCCGGTGTCCCCGTGGGGCAGGACAGGCTGTGGGGACACCGGAACGGGGTGGGGGGGGGGTGGTGGCACTGCCGTGGGTCGCCGTGGGGCTGCCAGGGGGCTCGGCCCCCCCGTGGGGCACGGGGACAGCTCCGTGTGGGGCTCTGGGGGTCCCGGGGGGGCTCCGTGGGGCCGCCCCCACCCCCGTTGGTCCCCGATTGTCCCCGCGGGTGGCCGTGGGTCGGGGGGCAGCTCCGTGGGGCTCCGGGGGGGGCTCTGTGGGGCTCCCCCCACCCCTCGCCGGGGGGTCCGTGGGTTCCCCCTCGTGGGTCGCGCGTGGCCCCTCCCCCCCCGGCCCCTNTCCCCCTCCCCTTCTCCCACCCCCCAATTTGGGAGCCCCCCACCTTCTCCCCTCCCCATTTTGGGGTTCAATCCCTCCTAGACCCCATTTGGGGGCTCTGACCCTCTCCCTTCACCCCCCCTCCCCTCATTTGGAGTCTCTGCCTCTCCTTTCACACCTCCCCCCTATTTTGGGGGTCTCCCTTCCCCCCACCTCCACCCCCTCATTTGGGAACCGCCCCCTTCATTTGGGGGCTCCCCCCCCTCATTTGGGGACTCCCCCATCCTCTCCTCCATCCATTTCGGGGGTCCCCTCTCCCTCCCCACCCTCACCCCCCCAATTTGGGGGTTCCCCTTCTCTTTTCTCCCCCCAATTTGGGGGTTCCCTCCTCTCTTTTCACCCCCCCCATTTGGGTGCCCCCCGCCCGCCCCGCCCGCGTCTCCTCCAGCCTCTCGACCACCCACCACGTGCACCACTTCCACGGGCGGCACGGCACGGCGCCCATCGCCATCAACCGCGCGCCCTTCCTCACCCGCGGGCACCACGGTGAGCCTTCAGCCTCATCATCCTCATCCTCGCCTTCCTCATCATCCTCATCATCCTTACCCTCATCATCATCCTCATCATCATCCTCTTCATCCTCCTCATCCTCCCCATCGCCATCAACCGCGCGCCCTTCCTCACCCGCGGGCACCACGGTGAGCCTTCAGCCTCCCCATCATCGTCCTCACCTTCCTCATCATCCTCATCATCATCATCATCCTTACCCTCATCATCATCCTCATCATCCTCCTCATCCTTCCCATCGCCATCAACCGCGCGCCCTTCCTCACCCGCGGGCACCACGGTGAGCCTTCAGCCTCATCATCATCATCCTCGCCTTCCTCATCATCCTCGTCATCATCATCATCCTTACCCTCATCATCATCCTCATCATCCTCCTCATCCTCCCCATCGCCATCAACCGCGCGCCCTTCCTCACCCGCGGGCACCACGGTGAGCCTTCAGCCTCATCATCCTCATCCTCGCCTTCCTCATCATCCTCATCCTCATCCTCATCATCCTCCCCATCCTTCCCATCGCCATCAACCGCGCTCCCTTCCTCACCTGCGGGCACCACGGTGAGCCTTCAGCCTCATCATCCTCATCCTCGCCTTCCTCATCATCCTCATCATCATCCTCATCCTCATCATCCTCCTCATCCTCCCCATCGCCAACCTTTGTGTGCCCTTCCTCACCCACGGGCACCACGGTGAGCCTTCAGCTTCATCATCCTCATCCTCACCTTCCTCATCATCCTCATCATCATCCTCATCCTCCTCATCCTTCCCATCGCCATCCTCATCATCATCCTCATCATCATCCTCATCCTTCTCATCGCCATCAACCACGCGCCCTTCCTAACCCGCGGGCACCATGGTGAGCCTTCATCATCCCCATCCTCATCCTCACCTTCCTCATCATCCTCATCATCATCCTCATCCTCATCATCATCTTCCTCATCCTCCCCATCGCCATCAACCGTGCGCCCTTCCTCACCCGCAGGCACCACGGTGAACCTTCCTCATCCTCATCATCATCCTTATCATCATCCTTATCATCATCCTCAACATCCCTGTCCTCATCCTCCTCATCCTCATTTTCCTCATCATCATCATCCTCAACATCCCCATCCTCATCATCCTCATCCTCACCTTCCTCATCCTCATCATCCTCATCCTCATCCTTTTCATCCTCCCCATTGCCATCAACCACGTGCGCCATGGTGAGCCTTCATCATCACCCACATCATTCTCATCTTCCTCATCTTCATCTTCATCCCAGTCATCATCACCTTTCTCATCCTCCTCATCCTCTCCATTGCCATCACCTGTGGGCCCTTCCTCACCCCTGGGCACCACAATGAGCCTTCATCACCCTCAACATCATCACCTTCATCCTCCTCCTCTTCCTTGTGGCCATCCACTGGGCCTTCCTCACCCACAGTGAGCCTTCATCACCCTCCTCATCAACCTTCCCCCTCCTCCTCACAGGGACCCCAAAACCCTCATCATCATCATCATCATCATCATCATCATCATCCTCTTCCTCAGCCTCAGGCTCCCTCAACTTCCTCTTCACGATGACAGGGACACAGATGGCCTTCCTCCCCCTCTTCCTCCTCCTTCTCCTTCACCTCCTTCTCCTCCTCCCACTCTTCCTCTTCCTCCTCCTCCTCCTCCTCCTTCTGCTCACAGACACCCAACTCCCTCCTCCTCCTCCCAGGAACTCCAGCCTTCCTCCTCCTTCTCCTCCTCCTGTTTCTCACCCTCCTCCTCCTCCCCAGCTGCTCGCGGGTACTTCAGCCTGGCCTTCCTCCCCCTCCTCCTCCTCCCCTGTCACCGCCTCTTCCTCCTTCTCCTCCTCCTCACTGCCTCGAGAACCTGGAACAACCTTCCTCTTCCTCCTCCTCCTTCTCCTCCCCCTCCTCTTCCTCTCACCTTCCTCCCCTCCTCCTCCTCCTCCTTTGGGGGGGGCCCTGTGGGGTCCGTGCCCCCCCGTGTGTCCCCACCGTGTCACGCTCGGGATTGGATGGTTTTGGGGTGATTTTGGGTGGTTTTGGGTGTTTTGTGATGGTTTCAAGGTGTGTTCAGGTGGTTTTGGGGTATTTTGGAGTGGTTTGGGCTGTGTTTGGGGGTTTTTGAGTGTGTTTGGGTGTTTTGTGGTGGTTTTGGGGTGTTTTGTGATGGTTTTGGGTGTGTTTGGCATTTTTGGGGGTGTATTTGGGGTGTTTTGGGATGGTTTGGGTTTTTTGGGGTGTATTTGGGGTGTTTTGGGATGGTTTTGGGCTGGTTTTTGTGGTTTTGGCTGTTTTTGATGTATTTTCAGTGTGTTTGTGCACCCTGAGCCCTCCTGCAAGACCATGGCAGGGGGGACAAGAGGGACCCCCAGGCATTGGGGGGTCCTGATGGCCGCACAGCCCCTCCCCCAAACTCGGGGGTCCCCCCCAGGTCTCGGAGCCCTCCCCATTCCTCAGGGTCCCCTCTGGATGTTGTGCACCCCCAAATTCAGGGCTCCCCATGAACACTGGGGTCCCCCCGCACAAAAATTCCAGATCACCCCCAAACATCGGGGTCCCTCCTAGACCCCCCCCCCACCTGCCCAAACTCCAGGGGGGTCCCCCTTCACTCGGGGACCCCCAAATCCCCCTGCCCTGAGCTCCCCCCAGATCCGCCTCCCCCCAACCCCCCTCCGCT